TTATTTATATTCAATGGTATAATTGAAGTTGACTAAAATTAATAAAATAAAAAGTATATGTTAAAGATTTGTAAACATGAATTTTTGTACTGAAACTGATAAGTGACGCTCTCACTTACAAGTAGATTTATTTATTGAATATTTGATCAATATTAGTTACTGTAAGCTTACTTATACAGTCTAATTTCTTCAAAGGAACCATTTTGGTTAATAACAATAGAGCACGAACAGATGATATTAATCCCAATAGGTACGGCTATAGAGCCCTATACAAATAAAGAACATAAGCAAACAATGTTTTTGTAAAGAAAGAAAAGAAAAAATTATGAACTAACCAGAAGTACAAGTAGTCCTACAATTATTGGCATTGAAAAATGTAATTAAACGTATTTTGAAGTACTAAAATATTGGAATCGAAAAAACTTAAGATTGCAGGTGCACTCAAGAATTAGTGAAAAATAAATTATTCGGTCAAGCGAATAATGAAAAAAAAAATGGTCAGAGACCATCTTTTTTTATTATAGAGTTTTGCTGATTGGCTAAAATTTAATATCTCCATTTTGCAATATATATCTTAATATATCTTCTTTAAAATTACTGTAAGAATTACTTAAATTAATCATAATATCTGTATACGATCTCTCTCTATAACTAGCCAATTATATTGAGAGAGATGCCTGAGAGCACCCTAGACTAGATGTAATGTTAAACCGCAAATAAACAAAAGATTTTTGGACCAAAAATTTGAAGGTTATGCAACCTCTTTACTTTGGCCTAAAAAGTCTCATTTTTTTGTTGCTTATTCTCGGTAATATACAATAATTGTATCACTTAATCTATTAGAGATGGTGATATCTCAATTTCTGTCCAAACTCGAGTGTAAAAATTCCAAGTATCAGTATTTCAGATTTCATGATTTTAAAAACCTATATTTCAACAGACTAAATTTGGTTATTCATTGAAAAAAAATTAATAATGAATGAACTCCAAAACATAGATTAATTAAATATAGTATTCAAAATCTGATAAATAATTCAATTTATCTAACAATTAAATTAAATAAATTAGTTATCAATTTACCTTTATGTATGATATAATATCAAGTCATTCGGCTTGGTCTAGCATCTGATTTAGCCCCGATAGCTTAGAAGAAAGGTAAAATGCAGAGTCTAGCGAAAGTGCAGAAGATTCTATTAATGAATTTTTTATTTTTTTTTTTAGAGTCCTTTGTTAGTAATTCATTGAATATTAATACAAGTTACTCTCGTTATAGTGAACTCTTGATATAGTGAAGACTAATTAAAATCTCGATATAGTGAAGTTGGACCCAAAGCTAGTCTATATAAAATTCTCTCGATATAGTAAATTTACTAATAAACTCTCAATATAATGAATTTTTAAAAAATTTTTATTAATGGAACCAATCACTTTACTATAACGAGTTTGACTTGTATACAAGGATCCACATTGTAATGACTATGGCAGTAACTCTATTAATCCAAAGAAATCTTTAATGAGTAATAAAAATAATGAAGGCGTGTAAAAGCATATGAAATCATATAGAAACTTAGCCTTTATTCTTAAACAAAGTAATTATTGGTGACTTTATATAAATCTTTTGGAGTTTAGTGTATCTTTTGTAAATAGAGTCATTGACTGTTGTCTGATTTCTTTGATATTTTCAATATTACAGGCGTGGTAAATATTTTATTTATTTCTATATATGATAAATTTGAATTGCTATAAATTTGAGATTATTTTACTTTTTTTGTTCCAGGAGAGGATAAGAGGATGAGCGATCCTCATTTTTAATAAAGATAGTTATTTATATTGTGCAACCACAAATTAGCAGTTACTATATGTGTCAGGTGATTACTATTACATAAACGTTATATACAAGATTTATTAAATATATATTACATATATAAAATTATAAATGAAACTTTCTATTAATTGGTATAACAGCAAGGTATTCTTTAGAATTTTTTCTTTGTGCTGTTTTGTAAAATGCTGGCACAAATCGGTTTAAAATTTGATAAATAGGAATTATACAATCACACTTAATAGGATAGAACTTTTTTTCCCATAATTCAATATTACACAATTTTTTATCTTTCTCATCTATACCAAATAAAAATTGTAATGAGCTACTTAATACTGGCTTGTACCAACGTATATATGCTAACTTATGCTTAACATCATTAACACCAATTTTAGTTGTATGCTGAATAAAGAATTGAATTTGTTCTGCATAAGTATTTGAACTATTATCCTGATTAATAAAATTCGCCATTATAAAAGAACTTTTTATATGTCACATTGACATAGTTGATCCAAATATTTCAAAACCAATTTGTAAACAACCAAATTGGTTCCCAAATGAATGAATTGTTTCTGATTTCTCTTGACTTTCTTGAAATGGTATTTTAAATGAATGCTGATCAGGATAGGCGGCTGAATAATATTCTGCTAAAATTTTTAGAAAATCATCTGGTAATAATATGTTTGTCTTTGAAGGATTCAAGAATTTACCAGGAAAATCTTCTGAGCCACTAACAGAATTTAATTCAACATTTCGTAACATTTGAAGGAACCTATATAATTCTGCAAATTCAAATTCATCTAGTAAAGCTAAACTTTCAACTGTTTTTTGATTTTGAAACAAATCAAATCCTTGTTAAAAATTTTTTTAATTAATAAGATCATTGACTATAAAATCTTGCATAAATCAGCGTATTAATTTTTGCTCAATTTTGCGGCGGCTATTTGGCAAAGACCCAAGATAACCATTCATTCGTTCAAAAGAGAAGCACCAGAATGCATAAAGTGGACCATAATCGAAGCAACATTCGCTAATATGAAGTGCCAGATGAAGGTTTGGTATAATATTTTCCTCACCATATTCATCTTCTATTTGCTTTACAAGAAGAACAAGTCGATCATGTGCCTCATTTAATGTGGCCACATTAATAATTCGACATACAAGAATGGTACAGATTTATACAAGATTAGTAAGAATTCTCTAATCCACTTCTGAAAGATGGTTCCATAAACAAGGTATTGAATAAATTAATATAAAGTTCTTCCATTCATTGGCTGTAAAACGTGCAAATCCTTCACCACTGTCAACTTTTTTTGGATATCAGATAGTACTTGAATTTCCAACATTTTCTTTTGAACCAACTTAAGGGTTTAAGTATTTAATTGACCACCATCAATCAATAATCGTTTTACGAACCATTTTCCAATGCCTAAAAATATGCAATGTATTGGATCAACAACCATAAATCGAACAGGGTCAAAATAAGGTAGTCGAAGTAACTCAGACTATTGAACCTGTATTAGTTTTGTATGCTGCTTTCTACCTAACTTTGTATAATACTTTCTCCACTTTTCTGCATTACGTCTATGTTTAATAGAATCTCGCTGAATAAACCATGAACCTATATTATTACTACCTCCAAAATGATAACACCAATTTTTATATTGAGAACGTTTTTCACAACGATAACAAGCCACTAAATCTGAAATATAACCACATAATTTTCGACCTGCAGGTATATTACAAGAACATGAGATTACAGCAGCTCAAACTGTTTTTTCTAAAGGATACTCATAAGTTGATATTTGTATTCTATCCCAAAGTTGGCATAATTCATTAACTATCGGTGCAAGAAAATGATTTATATAATACAAATAAACCTTATTTGGTCCAGGTAAAATACCAAGAATCATTACATTTTCAACTTTAAATCTGTCTTCTCTTGGTAAATTGCAAATTGTTGCATAAATAACGCCAATACTATACTGTATATTAGCAAAAGGTTGAAACCAGTCTAAATTTAACATAAGACCAAAATGTGAATCCACTGTTTCATATGTAAAAAATCGGCCACTATTTGATGGCTTGTCTTCAAATTCTTTCCAAACTCGACTATCGTAGATATCAGAAATAACACCATTCTTTATAGTTCGATGTGTCCATTTACGGCATGCTTTTTCAAAGTTTGGCCGTTTATATATTTTTAATAAATAACTTTTAATACTAGAGACTGGAAAAAATGAAATTGCCTTATTTTTAATTTTATTTAAATATTTTTTTTGAACCACTAGAGCAGAATTGCATGTTTTTTTTTGTCAAGTGCCAATTACATTCGGAAATTCGATATGATTACATTTTTTAATTTCTAGTTGCTCTTTAATATTTCGTGAGCCAACCACATCATCCTTTTTATATAATTTACTGCAATTTGAATATATAACATATTTCATAAAGTTTTTACTAATATTAAAATATTTTCAAACCATATAAATTGAGTTTGGATAGTGGCTAAATTGATTTTCATCACTTATTTCAACTAATATTAGATAAATAAATTTAATTAAAGTATTGATAGCAGCTTCGGATAAATTGAATCTAGATTGAAACTTTAGCAACCAAAGTAGAATCCATTCATATTCTAAAGGTGGATTAAAGTTAGGTTTAAATCCAGTCTGATCATTATCGTCAATATTTGGTGCAGAATAGTCTTCAAATTCATTACTATCACTATAAATTTTTTCTTTTGCTAATTGTTTATCTAACTCTTCATCATGCCATTCATTATCTGACTCTTCCGTTGATTCTTCTATTTCTTCAGCTAATTCTTCAGCTTCTTTGCCTGATTCTTCATTGAATCGCTTAACTAAATTTTCGTTTAATTCTTTATCTATTTCTTCAAACTCTTTTTTATCACTTGTCGAATCTAAGTTTAATTGAAAATTTAAATACATACGACGTTTCTTCTTTGGTAAAAATGATGGCTCTATATTTTCTTCAATATCTTCTGAAATTGATTGATTATTTGAATTTAGTCCGCCTAACTTTTCTTCTATAATCATAACTTCATTTCTTCCATCTATAGCCATATTTTCATATTTGCTTATAACTATATCTGTTTCTATGCTATCTGGTTCTATGCTATTTTCTATGTTAGCTTGTCGTCTTCTATCTTCTGATTCATGTCAAGATTTTACACGTTGAGAAACTAGGTTATCGTTACATGAATATGTTGAACAATAACAAGAAACATGACCATTTCGTTGGGTTGATGTAGGAGTTGTTGGATTTACATTTTCTGAATTCGAATCTGGAATAGAATCTAAAATTTCTTTAAAATTACGGCTTCGTGGCATTGTGAATAAATTTAGAGTACGCTATTGTAAATTATTTTTAAACAAAATTTCAATCTTTATTTATATATCGTATAATTAATTGATTAATATACATATTATTTGACATATATATACAATGATATTTATGTGTAACTAGTTTCATATACA